GGAGGCAAAGACGGGTCAGAGGTTAGAAACGCTAACGGCGGGACGGAGACGGCTGGCAGAGCGGAGCAGAGCGTACCTCCCAGCGGCGGCCCGGCCAGCCCGGCGAAGCTCTGGATGAAGACGTAGACGCCCACACAGGAAGGCATCTTCTGGATGCCGACCACTTCCTCCTCGGCCAGCAGGGGGATGTGCGTGGAGGCCACCGTGCCCATGAAGAAGCCGTAGAGGGCGCAGCAGACCGCCAGGCCCCAGAACCCCCAGACCACCGTGAAGACCACCAGAACCAGGCACATCAGAACCACGCAGCCCAGCAGGACGTGCGTCTTCTTGCAGCGGACCTTGCTCAGCACGACACCGATGGAGAAGCGTCCCACAATGTCGGCCACGGCCATGATGGACAGCATGTAGGACGCCATGGCGGGCTCCACGCCGCGGCTCTTGCTCAGCTCGATGATGTAGAGCTGCGGAGCGAAGAAGCCCAGCGTGGCGAAGAGGCCGAACAGAGAGTAGCAGATGAAGGCGCCGTCTTTGAGCATGGAGAAGTCCAGGAGTTTGGGGGCGGGGCTAGGAGTGGCCCCTCCCTCCGACAGCTGTGCATTCAGATCCTGCTGGACAGGGCTGGGAGGTGGGCTGGGGGGGCCGGAGCCAGACTCCTCGCTGTCCTTCGGGCTCCACTCCATCAGAGCCTTGGCCTCCGGAGCGTTTCTCAAGTCTTCGTCTGACGACGACAGGAAGGTGACGCCGGAGTCCCCGGAGCCCTGGGAGATGGCGGAGCTGAGGGACGTCCGGGTTTGTTCGTTCTCCAGCTCAAAGACGCTCTGCTTCAGGGACAGCGAGGCCAAGTCGCCGTCCTCCTTCTCAGGCTCCGCCTCGATGCTGATCGGACGCAGCAGGGCGCCAAAGGCCATCACGGACGCCTGCATGACGCCGAGGACGACCAGACAGTAGCGCCAGCCGATGTCCTCCTTCAGGCTGGTGAAGGCTGCAGAGACACGATCGCATCACATCTACGTCCTGACCTTCAGGCTAAAGCTAACATCCAGGAGCTACGCCTCAGACTCACCGGGCGCAAAAGCAAAGATGGCGAAGGATTCCCCAGAGGAGGCGATGGACGTGACGAGGGCCCGGCGCCTGGAGAAGTACTGGGCGAGGATGGTGACGGTGGGGATGAAGGACAGACAGAAGCCCAACCCTAAAGAGAGGAGAAAAGAGACGGGACATGACAGCCACTGGCCCGCATGGTAGGAACCCTGCATGGCTAGGGGGGGTGGGGTCAGAGAGTCAGGCGGTCAGCGCGGCGTCTGGCGGCTGCTGGAAGACAAAACCAATGTAAAGACAGAAGAGAGGGGGGGGGCGGGGAGGTTAGCGCCGATCCACTGGACTCATGAATTCATGGGGAGAGCTAGCAGTGCCGCTGTTCAGGGAGAACTCAGTCCAGTCACTGCGTTCCCCCGTAGGCTCCGCCCACAAAGCTGAGGCGGCAGGACGGATCGTTCTCTCAGAAAGTTCTGGATTGTAGCAGAAGTTTGACGGACACTGCTAGGAGTCCCTTTACTTTAAACACGACACACGGCTCTGCGGGGGGAGGAGCCAGCCGGGCGCCAGTTGGGGGGGGGGGGGTCTGGTACCTGAGACGATGCCGGTAGTGATGTACATCTCGCTGATGCTGCGGGTGAAGGCGGAGGAGATCATCCCCAGGCTCATCAGGAAGCCGCCCATCATCACCACGGGGCGGCAGCCGAAGCGGTTGCTAAGCAACGAGGCCACGGGTGCTGTGGGGGGAGGAGGGGGGTCATTATCGCTCTGATAACGGATTGAAAGTGAAGAATCAGAACCTGGACCCGGCGGGAACCAACCTGCGAAGGCGAAGATGAAGACGGAGATGGAGATGACCCAGGACACTCTGCTGGTGCTCTCCTGGAACTCCTCCATCAGGTCCTGGAGGAACACCCCCAGCGTCTTCAGCACGCCGTACGTGCTGACCTCCACCATGAAGAAGACCACGGCCACCGCCCAGCCCCAGCCGCCTTCCGGCACCGCCGGGTACACGTTTGGACCCAAACAGTCCGGGGTTCTGACGCTCTTCATGGCTACAGGCGTCCTGCTGGGAGAAGCAAACATCACATGACCTTCAGAGACGTTTCCACGGTCGATCCCAAACGGGTTCCTGGACCCCAACTTTCCGTTTCCTCCTGAGGGAGACGGCAGCTTCCACTGCGACCCGCTGGGTTCCAGCAGCTCCAAGCCTGAACTGGAGAAAAGCAGAACAGCAGCAGGAGGTTCTGCTTGGACTACAGGTCCGTTTACTGCAGACGCTTTAGGAGCAGCAGAGAGGCGATCACATTAATACATCATTTAAACAATCAACTAATTTAGTAACGGATTAATCTTTAACTCACTCAGAGCAGGAATTATACCCAGATTGTAAAAATATAGAAACATTTTGCATTTATGATTTAAAAAACTGCTAAATAATCATTAGCTGCAGCAGCTGTGAACCACAAAGCAGAACTGATTGGTTGCTGGAAGCCAAACTGGACTGAACCGGATCGCCCTGTCAGGGATCAACACTTGGTGGCGCTGTTGCAACAAGCCTCAGCCTGTTTTAACCCTTTATATGGCAAAAATTAATCTCAATGTAATAAGAAGAAACGCCAACTTGCTGAAATATATATAAAAAATTCATGAAAAACACTGAGAGCGAAAGAGACACTTTTTTGTTGGTCCAACATAACCTTAGAGGCATTAATGCAGATACTGGCATTTACATGTTTTAGTTTATAAACTTAAATATAATTGTTAACTAGGCTTATTAACTTTTCAATTAGCTTTTAACCTTTTTTTTCTTAACTATTTTTTCAGCTGCTCCTTCCTGTCAGACAGGATGGATTCAAATTTAACATTAAAGACCTGAAACAAAGAGTTTCAGATAGAAATGTGTAAATAGATCCAACAGACGCCTAATATCTCCTAATTAAACAGTGAGTCCAGCTTTTAATCCTAAGATCAGAGATCAGTCACTCATTTCAAAATCTCATTGTTTTTATTCAATTACACAATTAAAGTATAAAATATTTTTTTCCCTTCAGACTTTTTCACTCGTTTGATAAATAAAATATTTGCTATTTTAGTCTTTATCTGCTGTTAGATAAAAAAAAAAAAAGTTTCAGAAACATTTTGTTTATAATCGCAGGATGCGGCCGCGAAGCGCGCGCTTCCTGGTTGCTTGTTGTAAACGCGCGCGCACAGCAAAGCGCCGTTTCCTGGTTTTTCTCCAGCTGCGTGAAGCTGACACCCCACCCACGTCAAAAAACTCTGCAAATAGACTGAATGGTTAGTGCAACGTTAGTGCAGATTTGTGCAGAAAAAAATATCGTTTGTGCTACTTTTGTTTAAGAGATATTAAAGATTATTTTTTAGGTCATCCAGAGGTCACCATCCCCCCATTAAACTCCAATTTGAACCAAAGTGGTCTCGTTTTTTAGTGCTTCGTTTGTGCTGATTTGTGCAGTTAAAACGGTCATTTGTGCTATTTTACTTTTAAAGATATAATCATTTTAATTTTTGGCTGATGACGTCACCATCCCCCCATCAAGCTCCGATTTGATCCAAAGTGGTCTCATTTTTTAGTGCTTCGTTTGTGCTGATTTGTGCAGTTAAAACAAACATTTGTGCTGCTTTACTTTTTAAGATATAATCATTTTAATTTTTTGGCTGATGACGTCACCATCCCCCCATCAAGCTCCGATTTGATCCAAAGTGGTCTCATTTTTTAGTGCTTCGTTTGTGCTGATTTGTGCAGTTAAAACGGTCATTTGTGCTGCTTTACTTTTTAAGATATAATTATTTTAATTTTTTTGGCTGATGACATCACCATCCCCCCATCAAGCTCCGATTTGATCCAAAGTGGTCTCATTTTTTAGTGCTTCGTTTGTGCTGATTTGTGCAGTTAAAACGGTCATTTGTGCTGCTTTACTTTTTAAGATATAATTATTTTAATTTTTTTGGCTGATGACATCACCATCCCCCCATCAAGCTCCGATTTGATCCAAAGTGGTCTCATTTTTTAGTGCTTCGTTTGTGCTGATTTGTGCAGTTAAAACCGACATTTGTGCTGCTTTACTTTTTAAGATATAATCATTTTAATTTTTTTGGCTGACATCACCATCCCCCCATCAAGCTCCGATTTGATCCAAAGTGGTCTCATTTTTTAGTGCTTCGTTTGTGCTGATTTGTGCAGTTAAAACCGACATTTGTGCTGCTTTACTTTTTAAGATATAATCATTTTAATTTTTTTGGCTGATGACATCACCATCCCCCCATCAAGCTCCGATTTGATCCAAAGTGGTCTCATTTTTTAGTGCTTCGTTTGTGCTGATTTGTGCAGTTAAAACGGTCATTTGTGCTATTTTACTTTTAAAGATATAATCATTTTAATTTTTGGCTGATGACGTCACCATCCCCCCATCAAGCTCCGATTTGATCCAAAGTGGTCTCATTTTTTAGTGCTTCGTTTGTGCTGATTTGTGCAGTTAAAACAAACATTTGTGCTGCTTTACTTTTTAAGATATAATTATTTTAATTTTTTTGGCTGATGACATCACCATCCCCCCATCAAGCTCCGATTTGATCCAAAGTGGTCTCATTTTTTAGTGCTTCGTTTGTGCTGATTTGTGCAGTTAAAACGGTCATTTGTGCTGCTTTACTTTTTAAGATATAATTATTTTAATTTTTTTGGCTGATGACATCACCATCCCCCCATCAAGCTCCGATTTGATCCAAAGTGGTCTCATTTTTTAGTGCTTCGTTTGTGCTGATTTGTGCAGTTAAAACGGTCATTTGTGCTGCTTTACTTTTTAAGATATAATTATTTTAATTTTTTTGGCTGATGACATCACCATCCCCCCATCAAGCTCCGATTTGATCCAAAGTGGTCTCATTTTTTAGTGCTTCGTTTGTGCTGATTTGTGCAGTTAAAACAAACATTTGTGCTGCTTTACTTTTTAAGATATAATAAATTAAAATTTAGGCCGGTGACGTCACCACCCCCCTATTAGAGAGCTGCGGAAGTGAACAAGTCAGCAGCAAAGCAAAGGAGTCTCGTCTAAGTTAGTTTGAGTCACCTATGCATGTCAGTGGATGTTTCAAGTGTGTAACTGATGACATGTAAGTTTATTATGCCTTGTGTGTTGTAAAATTTCCTTATATAACCTCTGTTTAACTGTGTTGTTTTGTAGCTGCAGCTTTAGTTTTGTAGCTGCAGCTTTAGTAGTACTAACTAACTGTTTATACTCAATGTTGTTCATTTTTTGGGCTTAGCCTGAACGTTTAAGTTTATATTACATGTTTTGTTATTCAGTCTTTATGCACAGTGATACGGAGTTTATAATCCTGTTTGACTATCATCTTGTTGAGTTAAGTTTTTTGGGCTAGATTGACCACTAGGTGTCAGCAGGCTAAATGATATTTCTTTATGGTGAATGTTATTTCATGCCTGATTACTTACTTTATGCTTACTGATTATTACTGATATTTAGTATGATATTATTTGTGTTTTTCTTTAGACCAACTTCAAGATCCTTGTATCTACTACCTGTATACCTTAGCCCTCCAATAAAGCTGCACTCTGTAAGTATTTTGACCGACCTTCCAGGCAGACTTCAGTGCACCTGAACCTCATTTATAAGTCTTCTAGTTTTCTTCAGTACATATTTTGATGTATTTCTACTGATAAAGCAGTGACATTATTATGAAGCTGTGTCATTTACCATCACCAGCAGGTTCAAAACAAACTGTATCTGTGTCTTACATCTACATCCATGTTGGCTCTTTTTCATTTGTCAACAATAACCTTGGAATGAAAAGTTTTATTAAGATTTGCAGCCCAGTAATACTGTATGTGCAGACTGCTACGTTTTTAATATAAAGTTTATGCTGAGCTCATTAAATAAAAAACAAATTGCTCTACATTGTTAGTAATTTCTAATTATTTAATTAAGCCAATATATTAATTTTTGGACAATATTTCCCACTCCACGCATGAAGCTAGTAATGAACTGGAGAGGACCTTCAGCCTAATTGAACCTTTAGCTTGAACAGACAAAATTTTTTGGATATTGTTCCTTACAGATGCTGTTTTACTTTATAGTCTAACCACAGTGCTGTATTTTGTTATAGTTTACTACTAGCCTGTAAACTGTAATTAGCTTATTTTTTGGTGCAGAAACACCAAAAAGGAGTAATAATAATAATAATAATAATACATTTTATTTAGCAGCGCCTTTCTTGACACTCATAGTCACTTTACAAATAATACAAAAGATAAATAAAAAGAGAGATGAAAATACAATAATGTAATGAAGTATGACTTCTAAAATCAACTATAACAAAGTGCCCTTGAATATGTAATAAACCTTTTACTTTCAAAGAAGAACAAACACTTCTGATTTGGAAAACGAACTTTATGTTAACATTTGAACATTTTGATAAAAGAAAACGCCTTTTTAAAACTGTAATATGGTCCTAACAACTGGGAACTCTTCTGGGCTTCTCAAAACTGACCTCCAAAGTATATTTCTTAACAGCATTTAATCTGCTGTGTATAACACAGCATGTGGATGCACTTTGGTATTTTCAGGCACTGTCTTCACTACCTTTGCCAGATCATCATAAAGTTCCCACATACATGGAGCTCTTCGGCAGTAGGCAGTGTAATGTCCAAGACCGTGTTTGGTTGAGCTGGCCTTGAAAGCGATCACTCCTTTTAAGGTCAGTGTCTTTCCTTGGAGAGCCACAACAGAGGGAAATTCACACAAAGGAAATTCAGTTGTGTTTGCAAGGTCAGTGTCAATCCATGCTATTTCTCCAACGCTGTAGCTGTGAGTCACTCTTCCAGCACAGAGCATTTTTCCTGAAGGAGTGGCTTCTGTTTTGAATTCAGCTGGACACTCTGATTCATCCTCCAGTGGGCGTAGGCAGGGAGACTCTGGTAAAGAGAGCCCGTTTTCTACTGCAATGTCAAGGTGAGAAATGCCAGAGTCCACCAGGACAGAGAATTCAGGAGAAAGAAATGGTACTTCCCTTGTGATTCCTTTATTTAGCTGGCAGTACGGTGAAGAGCAGTGCTTTGAGAGGTAAACACTTGAAACATTCCTCATTGTTTTTCCAATTATCGTACAGATGTTGCACTGGGCATCGATTTGGTAGGCGCCAGACCTCAACTGGACTTTCTCAAACATTGTACAAAGTAGCTGTGCTCTCTCCGAATATATCCTTTGGGTCACACCCTCTGTAACAATGGCTTTAACCAGCTGCAAGATGGGGTTGTCACCGTCATTCCTGACAACATTCTGAAATCCTGTGCTGTCACAGAAACCACAACATAAGCACTGACAGAAAGCATCAAATGCACATGTGTTCAGCACAGAGATTGCTGACTTCCCAACTCTAATTGGTAGGTGCAGGTTTCCATTTTTTATTAGTCCCACTTTCACTCTTTTTCCCCCAAATGATGGGTCTGCATGGAGCCATTCAGTGCAGGAAGTGAGATATGAAGTTAGCTTTCTTTTTTTAGGGGGAAGAATTTGTCCCTTCCAGTTTTCCACCACATCTTCATCTGCTGGAGGAATGTCTGTGGTTTTGTCGGATTCCTCAGAGTGGTAAGAGTCAGATCTTCTCTTGGCTTCAGCACTGTGGTTAGTCGTGGATGCAGATTTTTTATCTGTTACTTTTGTTAATCCAGTTGTTTCCTCGTCATTTTTTGCTTTTGCAGAACAAATCCTCATATTTCCTTCTATGAAGGAAAGATGACGGGAAATGAAGCGATCAACTCGAATAGGCAAGTTGTCGTGTTTAAAAAGTCCATGTTTTATATTTTTGAACTCTGCTTCAACAGTGGCTGAGCTTGCTGTGAGGCTGGTGCTTTTGAAGAGGGGGACCATAACTCCTGTCCAAAGTGGTAAGTAACTTGCAAGTCTTATTATGTGTGGAACAATCTCAGGTAGAAAATGGATGTTATCCCTATCCCCATTGGCTGCAGCGAGTGACCTGCTCTCCTCACATATGTTTGATACCCAGTCTCTTAGGTCAGTCTGGATCTCATCAAAAGGATCCCCTTGATGCATTTCCTCTGTGTCTTCAGCTGGAATGTTGAAAGAGTCTTCTGTGATCTGTGCTTTCAGGTATTTTTTACACCTCTCTGATTCCAGAGGGACTCCAGAACTGTCATCTCCCTCTGCTTCGCTGAGAGCCACAACAGTGATGGCATGTATTAGCTGTTTTGCATGGTCTAAGCACTGTGACTGAAGCAGCTTTGCTATTGCCCTGACAAAGAAGTCTTTCACACGGTGTGACTTGTTTTTAAGGCAGCTCCACTGGCAGATCATCTTTATGCAGTGTGCCACATCCACCCTGATGAAACAAGGAGGAAGTTTCCCAGACCGGTTCCCAAGTAGCACACGGAAGCACTCATTAATGTATGTCTTCAGATCAGGGTAAGGAGTGAAAGCCTTCACCAGAGCACCTAGAATAGCCAGAGAAAAGTCACTCACGGCTTCTTTTGGTATAGCAGCACCTGTCCGAAGCCATTCTGTCAGCCATGTTGCAATAGCATTAATGTCGTGTCTCTCTGACAGCATTTGCACTACCGGGACTGAACAATTCTCCCCTGTCAGAACCCCTTGATATAGGAAGATGTGGCCAGATGTACCATTTGGTCTCACCAGTCTTCTCACAACTGAACCTGTTGCATCAAAGCAAACTACTGAGGGGCATTTTTTGGACAATGCTTTATACAGATGGAGCTGAGTTGGACTCCAATAGTGGCAGAAGAACTTATCTAGACCAATGTCTCTTATACTACCACTGTGAGGTGAGCTATATTTTGACAACTGCAAAGACAGAATTGGATCTTTGTCACCTAATTCTAAATCTTTTCTCTCCTGCTTTGCTTTTCGTAGGGTCGCCAAATTTGGGAGGTGACTTGGTTCAGGATCTCCAATATCCATCAATTCCGATGCCTTCGCTGACCTCCATACAGCCGGCTCCATCCTGCCCTCACACAGCTCTTTTGAAATCTGTGCACGAAGCTTTCCAGACATGAACCTCTTGGAACGACCAGTGTGCAGGGAGATATCAGTGTCTTCGATGGAACACTCCAGAATCATTGGGCTGTTGACTATTGGTTCTCTGGCACATGTCATTTTAACGTGGCCCTGACACTCTTTACAGAAGCCCTTGATATCGATGTAATTGTTTGTGACAGTTGGATAAACCTTTGCTCTCTGGAACACAAATGTACATGTACTTTTAATTTTTTCCCATATCAGATGGTTAATTACATGACTCCAAGTGCCTGGTTTCAAAATCATATATTCCCTTTTGCCAGATGATGAAAATTTGTCATTATATTGTACTTTCTCTGGTACAAATTTGATCCATTCCTCAAAAGGGACTTCAATCTGAAAACATGAGGAGCTGTCTACTCCTGAAGAAATAGAGCCAGAGTCAAATCCCATGTCCACTCTGCTCTCAGGATCACTTTCCGCCTCATTGATCTCCAAACATGACCAGATGTTATGTCTGTTTAACTTTACAAAAGTGTACACAGCTTTTGGAGACATCTTGTTTTCCAGCTGCTGACTTAATTCAGTCCAAATAGCAGCAGCAGGAGTGGCTATTTTGCCATTTAGAAAGATGGCCTCTTTTGAATTGCAGACAACTGCAAAAAGGGAATCCCTGTCTACTGATGGCTGTCGAGGCATCTAGTTGAAGGATAAAAAGAATTTGATTAGCATTAATACAAATATTCTGACATATAGAATTCTGCTACAACTAAAAACTTCAGTTTAAATTACTGTTCTTCCCTAAATCAATATGCCTTTTATGCTTAATTGTAATTATAGTCTGTTTTTTGGTTATTGCACATATAGCATTTTTATGACTTGTTAACTTTCATTTAAAGTATTAGTTCAACTTTAAAAATGTGCCTTAGCCCTGTGGAGTCTACAGATGTGCCTAATCATAGATAACTGTATGCTTTAATAAATTTAAAAAATCTGGAATTAAAATGTAATTGAATTTTGGATTTACAGAAATCTGTCTGCTTTGTATTAAATTAAATATCGGATACCCTGGCCAACTTAGCTAAAAATAACGTAGTTGCTGTTGATCGTGTCACGTTTGTTACTAAAACCTTATTTGTTGCTAACATTTACTGCCATGTGGCTGCTAGCCCTGTATGTATGGCATTCAACAATGCATCTCCCATTATTTATTATCTTACCTTGCTCTAAAATCACGTTTGACGGATGTTGACGTTTGAAGGATTTCACTTTTATTGATATATATATGATCTAATTTGATTCTTTCTACGCACAGTTCACTGACTCACTAGGTGGCGTCACTCCCTGTAAAGTCGTGTGGGGACTTCCAATTTGCCAAACGGTCAATGCTGTTTTAATAACTCCTACATTTAATGTCATAAGTTACAAATTAAAGCTTGATGCATTTTATTAAAGCATTAAGAAGTTGGTTAATTGAAATGACACTCAATTGCCTACGTGCTGTGCACTTCTAACTTCATCCTTCTGGCGCATCTCAGTTATTTTTTTAAACCAGTTTGCTGCTCAATGTGCGGAAAATAAGGGTCAACAATGTGAATACGACTATCAAAACCACCTTAAAAGAAATCGCAGTTACAATATTAGAATAATAATAATGGAATATAAGTAACAGGTAAAAGATTTGTAGAAGTTATAAGTATATAACTGTTGCAGAATGTGAGGATTTGATCATGTGCAGGCTCAGGATGGTGTGTCCCCCTCTCCATTTGTGAGACAACAATATTGCATTTCTGTGGAGAAAGGTTAATATATTGGTGGCTTTGTTGACATTGCTATATAAAGCAAAGTTCTTTAAATGAGGCACAATAAATCTTGCTGCAATCAATCTTTATTAGGGAATACAAAACAATATAAAACACATTTTACAATAACAGCTAAAACAACTTGCAATATAAAACAAATATATGAAATTAACTGCTTTCTTGAGAACAGTGGTTAGACCAAACGGTGCATCTGGCCACATCTTCTTCCACCAAGGCGTTCTGACAGCGGACCACAACTGCTGTTGTTGAATAACTACTTTCCTTTCCAGCATGGGGCAACCAAGCCACTGTATAAAATAAGTATTCTTATAACAGTGGAAAGTACAAAAAATAATAATAATAAAATAACAATAAAAACACGTTTCCCTAGAGATCTTTGCCAATTAGCATGAATATATAAATAATCTAATAAGAAGGGGACAAACAGGCTCGGTAATCTTCATAATAAAGACACTGATTTATCAGTAGAAACATTTTAAAAAGACTTCCCTTCTTTCCAGTGTTGGCAGTGAGATATAATTTACTTTTGTCCCAGACTAAATTACTGACAAGAATTTACAGGATAAAAAGCGGCCTGAAACAAAAACAGCAGTTGTAGATGTGTAATAAATGTAGTCGGTTGTGATCATCACCTGCAAGTATAGAGAATATAGTTTGAATCGGACATGCAAGCAGCACAAATGTCGGTTTTAACTGCACAAATCAGCACAAATGAAGCACTAAAAAATGAGACCACTTTGGATCAAATCGGAGCTTGATGGGGGGATGGTGATGTCATCAGCCAAAAAAATTAAAATGATTATATCTTAAAAAGTAAAGCAGCACAAATGTCGGTTTTAACTGCACAAATCAGCACAAACGAAGCACTAAAAAATGAGACCACTTTGGATCAAATCGGAGCTTGATGGGGGGATGGTGATGTCAGCCAAAAAAATTAAAATGATTATATCTTAAAAAGTAAAGCAGCACAAATGTCGGTTTTAACTGCACAAATCAGCACAAACGAAGCACTAAAAAATGAGACCACTTTGGATCAAATCGGAGCTTGATGGGGGGATGGTGATGTCATCAGCCAAAAAAATTAAAATAATTATATCTTAAAAAGTAAAGCAGCACAAATGACCGTTTTAACTGCACAAATCAGCACAAACGAAGCACTAAAAAATGAGACCACTTTGGATCAAATCGGAGCTTGATGGGGGGATGGTGATGTCATCAGCCAAAAAAATTAAAATAATTATATCTTAAAAAGTAAAGCAGCACAAATGACCGTTTTAACTGCACAAATCAGCACAAACGAAGCACTAAAAAATGAGACCACTTTGGATCAAATCGGAGCTTGATGGGGGGATGGTGATGTCATCAGCCAAAAAAATTAAAATAATTATATCTTAAAAAGTAAAGCAGCACAAATGACCGTTTTAACTGCACAAATCAGCACAAACGAAGCACTAAAAAATGAGACCACTTTGGATCAAATCGGAGCTTGATGGGGGGATGGTGATGTCATCAGCCAAAAAAATTAAAATAATTATATCTTAAAAAGTAAAGCAGCACAAATGTTTGTTTTAACTGCACAAATCAGCACAAACGAAGCACTAAAAAATGAGACCACTTTGGATCAAATCGGAGCTTGATGGGGGGATGGTGACGTCATCAGCCAAAAATTAAAATGATTATATCTTTAAAAGTAAAATAGCACAAATGACCGTTTTAACTGCACAAATCAGCACAAACGAAGCACTAAAAAACGAGACCACTTTGGTTCAAATTGGAGTTTAATGGGGGGATGGTGACCTCTGGATGACCTAAAAAATAATCTTTAATATCTCTTAAACAAAAGTAGCACAAACGATATTTTTTTCTGCACAAATCTGCACTAACGTTGCACTAACCATTCAGTCTATTTGCAGAGTTTTTTGACGTGGGTGGGGTGTCAGCTTCACGCAGCTTTTTTCTCCTCAAGCTTTTTTTTTGGGGGGGGGGTCAGCCTGTCCGCCCTGCAGGGGGGTGATGATGATGATGCTAAAGCTACTTAGCTCAGCTCTTCATCTGCATTATGTCACCAAGTTTAAACTGCCCGGTGAACTTTCAAAAGAAAATAAACTGACCGCATGAAAGCGTTAAATATTCAGATAATAAATCTAAGGTTTAGTGAAATAAAGTTAGATTTAAAGGAGCCGCGTCCAGACTCACCGGCGGATGGTTTCTGCTTCCTGCTTCTTTTAATCGTTTCTCATGTCAGGATTCTGGTTTCCCGCTTTTTAGAGACGAGCAGCTAAAAAACTTTTTGTTTTTCTAACGTCTATTTAGTGACGGAGAGGCTGAACCTGTGTCCCGGTGCGGCGGCGCGGCTCCCCGGCAGCAGCAGCAGCACCGGCAGCATCCTCTCCTCTACTCCTGCCGGCTCCAGCAGCTCTTTTCCGGCTCAAGCCGGTATTTCAAACGCGGGCGCGCGGTTTCCCGGCGTCATGAACGCGCAGCTCTTCGCCCGCTTTGTCTCATCTCGCTCACGCGCGCAAACCTTTCTGAAGGTGACGCGCGCGCCGCCGCCACTTCAGAAATAATAATAAAATGAAACAGAGAATAAAAACAGAGGCGCTTACCTATAGAACATAGAGCTTCAGCTAATAGATTTTACATCAAACTAGAAAGCTGGCGGGGGGCGCGCGCGACAGGCGCGTTGCGCATAGCGGCGGGGCGCGCGGCGGCAGGAACAGGTTTCCTCCGGTTTGAAACAGCTTCCTTCTCCTCCTGCTCCTGATAGTTAGGATTTAATATAAAAAAATAATTTTTATAAAAACTATTCAACCAGGGAGTAAAGTTTAAAATAATTTAAAATGTTTAATTTGTTCTAATCGACCTGAAAACAGGAAATACCTGGATTTTACTGCTTCACACTAATGATTTAAAAAGACTATAAAATAAATGAAAGATTTCCTCTGGCCTTCACCAGGAGGAGGTTTCTGAGGCAAACAGTGAATCATCTTCCTGCTGCAGCTCAGAGCAGGCCACTCAGGCTCCTCTAAAATATTAAACATGTTCTTACATTAAGGATTTATAAATGCTGCACCTTTTATTTAAATAAAATAAAAGGTGCAGCATCTGTTTATAGATGTCTGAGTGCAGCCTCCCATCTGATCCATCTAATACATGCTGCTGCCTCACCTTTCTCTCAGCTGTGATGGCCCCTCAGACCCGCGATGGCCCCTCAGACCCGCGATGGCCCCTCAGACCCGTGATGGCCCCTCAGACCCGCGATGGCCCTTCAGACCCGTGATGGCCCCTCAGCCCTGCGATGGCCCCTCAGCCCTCTGTGGCTGATCCTCGCAGGTTCCTGTCCTCATATAGCCTCTGAATCAGAGCAGGGGTGTGTCTAAGAGCAGGCTGGGCCGGATCCTGACCCAAATTCTGCAAAGGCCACACCACCACTGCTGTAGCTCCTTAGCTTAGGAATGTTGGTCTGTAGATGCTGCAAACTGAACTTAATTCCTAGACTTTAGAGTATTTTCCCGGTTTTATGCAGTGATA